AGACGCCGACATACAGCGGTTCCTGAGTCCGAGACACCGTTTGGGCAACTCCAAATCATTACGACGACAAAGCGAGTTGAAAGGAGAGCTTGCGGCAGAAAAGTCGAGCCAGTCGCATTTGCACCGCGGCCCTGCAACTGGTACGTTCCTATCTCACTAAACAGCCTCCCAGCAGGGAGGAATCAGGCTGTCAGGGGGAATTGAGCTCGAGATGAAGGACCGTGACACCAATCAACTTGGCTCTCTGCTGGACCAGCCAACAACAATATGAAGTCAAATATGTTTCTGGCATGGTGAGCTCAAAATTTGAATCAAGGATCTTTTCTTGAAATGTATCAAGACAGTGCCTGGGTCATTTCCTGGTGTAAACAAGATCTCGTCACACCGGAGTGCCAGAACAGAAATGGAGTGTTGGAAGAAGTGGCAACTTCATAGTGAGCAGGGAGAAAGCATCCATATAATGCGAGGTGACGTTCGAAATTCTTTCGAGGGTCAACACAATGCGCCCAGTGTGGAACAGCCGTACGGTGCGGCGTGAGTATCCATCAGGACGTCTCAAACCCCGCTGCTCTCAATTTTGGGACGCGCGCCAGTTAATCAGAACCAGTCTGGTCCGAGGGCTCGGGGGTCAGCAGCCGTGGAGAGGAAATTATTGATGGAAATAAAGGTGCACAATGGCCCCACAAGCTCAGCACTCCACAAATGCTGGATGCAGAGTTGCTCAACCGTTTGCACAAGGCCAACTTGTTCACATTTGATTTAAGTGCTGCTTTTGTCATGACCCGAGCCAAGTGCTCTTGCTTTTATTGGCTCTTTGGTCTATTTCCTTTGCTTGACCGGTATTAAAAGACAACAAAACTTTCCAGTGGATGAAAAAAAGGCCTCTGATTTAACTCACTGGAGTTACCCAACCTTTTTTTGGAATAACACACATTAAGTTGCGCCTCACGGCGATACGTCAAGTCATGAAGCCATTGCGAAGCTCGATGACATTTCATGCAAGCGAGGCAACGGCCGGGCGGCATCCTTTGGGGAGAGAAGTGGCTGCGGGAAAAGAATCAGAATAGAAGTCAGGTCAGGTTGCACTGTGTCGGTTGTTGGGGGAAGTGTCCGCTGATTGCGACGCTGTTCTGTCGATGCTGGCGCGCAGCGACGTGAGAGGCAGCTTAATTACTACACTGAAGAGGCGAGCGTGCGATGCTTTACACCGCCATTGTGGCTTAGGGGCTCGGGTTTCATGGGCTTTGCGTATTTTCTGAACATGGCACAGTGCGATACCCAACGGACCAGTGAGGGCACAGAAACAAATGATGGCTTGTTGACTGAAAGCATACTTTGACAAGTCCATTTTCTATGTCCTCATTTAGCATAGACAGGTGACCTATTGCAAGGTGTGATGCAGGTTTAACAAGTCATGCTTTCAAAACGGCAACACTTTTTCAGCAGTAGCATGAGCTGTTTTTGGTGCGTGCAGTCAGCGAGCCCTACGCCTTTTCCCCTGATCACATGACAACATAAGATGAATGAAAAGTGCATACGAAGAGTGGCTGTTGGGGGAGGCAATGCGATGTCACAATTACGAGAGCGTTGGACAAATTCAAGGTAGCATTCATATATTGCTTCAATGCTGTCTTGAAAGAAACATCTGCAAATAGCGTCGGCGCCCCACCGCACGAACTACGTTGACTTCAATTGAATCGCACCGCCAGAAATGCTCGCAACGGATTTGGTGCGCACGTAGCGTGAGACATGAGAGGCCAGCACTGAAGCAGGAATTTAGGAGTGATCATTCTTGTCCACCTTAAAAGGAGAAAAAAAAAGATCTGACAACCATCACAATCAACACGGTTCTTTCTTTGACATGAAATGCATACAATTAAGGTTTAAATTGTGGTTTGGAGAGGTTTTCATTGGAACGGTTTTAACACTTACCTCATAATACTGCCCGATTTTTTTTCGGGTTTCAGACAGCCACTACGGGAGGGACGACTTTGTTGTCATCCCAAACATCTCAAGTCATATGCAGAGGCTGTTGACCGTAAGTGCTATTCATTCATCAACCCCCCGAAAATAGCGCCCATCCATGCCAGAAAGACCTTCAGTTTTCTGTCCCCGAGTCTCCCTTTTGGGAATCTGCCTGTTTTTCCTGGCAGGGTCCTCCCACCAGACCAAGCGCACTATAAATACGACCCTTCTGAATGCCCACATCCTTGCCGCGAAAATAAATCACGGGCTTCTCGGCTGCAGCAGACAGGCAGCACCTAGCAAACGGGACGAGGCGAGATGCCCATTGACTGGTCCAACAGGAACTGGGGAACACCCACCGAGGCTCCCTGCGAACACGACTGCTGCTGGCTCACATCACGACGTTCTCGACAGGCTCGAACATCCAAAAGGGCCAGTCACTCGCCTGGCTCACGGCGACAGAAAAGATGACTGCGGCTCATCAGAGGGGTTGACATATGTCCTACTTACTCCTTCACGGCTATGGCACAGGTGCAGAACGGAAAGAAGGGTGAGTGGGTAATCACCAGGGTGTTGGCCCATAACTGCCCACAAGAAAGATGCACAGCCCGCAACCATGGGCCTCTCACCAGGTTACTTACCGTATTTTGTTTTACTCAGGGACCGTCATTGCAAAGTCCCGGCAAGGAGACGCAAAGACTGAAAGGTATGAGGATAAGCAGACCGTATAGGCAGAAAGGTCAGAGAGCAGGAAGAGTGGCGATGACGTGTTTTGGTTTCACAGTGAAAGCCGTCATATTCCGATACTCCAGAGAACTAAGCAAAACATGAAAGCAACAGTATATATCCAAAAATAAAAACTTTGAAAGAAATGAATTGTGAGTAAAATTGCTTGTAATAAGGCGTAATTTCAGGTATACATATTTGGATAATAATACCGTGGTACCTTGACGTACAACCAATTCATCGGCTGGCCGATTCAATCAGTCAATATTAGCTCTTTTAAAATTGGATCATTTTTCTTTCTTCTGTAAAGTTGTAATTCTGTAATATTGTAAATGTCAGTCAAATGTTCTGCCTGTAATTCACATACCGGTACTTACTGTTGTAAGGAACCAAAAAAGAAATTAGTTCATCCATTATGCTTTGATTAATTACTAGGCCGATTGATCGTTTTTCAGAATTTTATCAAAATATTGGAATAGTCCTAAAAAAAAAATCCCAAATTGTTTTTTGGGTGAGTTTTCACGTTATAATTATTTGGTCTTTTTTTTTTATTTATTTATTTTTGCTTTATGTTGAGCGAGCGCCAGATAACTCAAGTAAAAAAGGAAGAGCCACAGCCACTGATGCACTTTCAACTATTTATTGAAAGAAACGCTGGAACTGAGACAAAATGAGATCGCTACCAAAGAGCATGCATGGAGAAGACGCCGACACTGAACATTAGGCGGACAAATTCATGTCCTGAAGTTCAGAAGAAGACGAACCAGCCATGTTCCTGATGCCACGCCCCTTAAAGGCACACATACAACACTACAGGTCCAGCTGTTGTCACTCGGTTTGTCCCAAAGTACATTACACTTCATAAAACCATTTTTTAAATTGTGTTTTTATAACAAAGCACTATTTTTCAATATTTAAAACATTTTAATAATGCAGTAGTTAGTTTCTCAGAAAATAGTATTTCAGTTCATTTTGATAGGGAATAGTGAATATATGTAATTGAAAAAAAATTGAATTAAAGCTGGACTATGTAGTCTTGAAGCTGCAAGCAAGACCGTAGCTTCACGTCACTCCTCTCTGCCCTTAAAATCTCTGCCAAAAGAAATGCCCCCATCTCATTAACGTGCTCGGACGGCAAGAGGCAAAGCAGCCATGGTAAGCATGACATATTCATTTTGAAGTATTGCCAAAAACGAAATGTTACCGGTTGGTAACATTATCCGATGACATGTAGATAATTGATGAATGAATTCATTTTGGAAGCATTAGCTTTACTTTCACCTGTTGTCTGGCACCTTTCTAAACACATTTTGCTACATGTTCACTTCATGAATATTTATTTAAAGCACCATGTCAATTGCTATCCAGGTTTTAACTTTTACACCAGGAATGCTAACCATTCGTGGAACTTTGTTCATTTGCAAAAATGCCTCACAAAGGTGCTGAACAAACAGGAAGAAAGGCTGAGTTTTGAGCCATCCACCCTTGACGTGTCCCAGTGTAGCAAAGCCTCATCCTTTCTCCAGCATTATTCTTGTGCTGGTATTCTTTGCTTCCGTCTGTAGGGACGCGACAATATAGTGCGGGTCTGAGCATGGAGAGGGACTGCGGTTGTTTTCTTTGAAAAAACACCTGTCCAAACAGCCGCAAAGCCAAGGGCAACTCTCTCCTGTCAACACTGGTGACAGCTCTCGAGAAAAAAAAACAAAAAAAAAAAAAACCCAGCCAAGACAATTCCTAAGACGTCCACTCGAGCGAAACAATGCACGTGGGGCTGGTGCGACCCCAGCCGGGCCGACCATTTCTGCCCCGTTTGTAGTCTTCATTGGAGCCGACACCTGGTTGGAGAGATACTGCCTTTTGTTTTGTTTATCCGTGCAGTTTCAAAGGCACTTAATCCACTACTGGTTTCAGTGACACTGACGGGACAAAAAAAAAAGAAAGAAAAAAAATGGTGTCGGAACCAGGCCCCTCTAATAACAAAAGGCTCAGGACTACTGAATTTGGTAATTAATTAATAGCGCTTATAAGCTTTTATAGGGTGTTTGTATCATCTGTCTGGAGTAGATTTCGAGGCTATTTTAGTGAAGATTCACAGAACAAAGACCAGGCGGATCATTATTAGCCAGCAGTGACTTGGCGAGCGCTGTATAGGGAGGGAGTGGGGGTGGTCATGTTTCAGTCCTTAGTCTTAAATTTCAGCAGTTTTTCTCGAGCACACGGCATCATTGTCAGTTCACGGTGAGCATTGATTCGATGAGTGAAAGACTGCAAGATCTAAACTCATTGAAACCATATTCACTGACCAATTGTCATTTTCAACGTGAAACTTTTATTTAAAAACAAAAAGCAGCTAAATAATCATCAGTTTGAACTGCAAATATGCGAGTCATCATTTTACTTACATCGCATCGGGGGAATCTAGATGTGCACATTTAATTTCATGACGGGTATGGTCCAGCTTTTGATGGATGATTTGCTTCAATGTCTTCATTTACACATAGAAACAAACTACTAAAGTGTCACTCTTCATGAACAATACATACATGTAAACATCTTTTCTCAGGCTTTATCAAGACCGTGTCATCATTGAATTTTGGGGGAAGTGCACAGAGAGAAACATGGCGAGAGGGAATACTTTCAATAGCTGAAACTCATTTAACTAGAATCCAAGAAATACACCATTTAAAAGTCTCTTGTTTGCAAATTGTGCTCATAAGTGTGCTGCAGAAAAAAAAACAAAACAAAGCGCTAACTAATTTTAGCACCGCATTCAGAAATGTCTGAAAACTGTGGCGAGACCTCGTTCGTTTTCACCTCAATCTTCAAACCGAGAATGCACTCCTGCTGTCGGCTGCGAGGCAGCGACGGATGCCGAAGCCCATTTACTTACGTTCTGATTGGTGGACGATGAATCACAGACATTAAATGGGGGCAGAATGGTGGTTCTTCGCTAAATGAACGCCCTCGGTTCTTCATCTCAACCATACGGACGACAGACGAGTACGGACGACGCAGTTTGGACACGTCAGCCCGGGAGGAAAATACTGACTGACTGACTGACTGACAAGATGGCATCGTGGTGGCTTTGCGTGGACTCACTGCACCGCACACATGGAGCTGCGAGGGGTGTTGACCGTCCGGGCCACCATATCTTGACTGTAGTTTACGATGTCCGCCTTGACCACACGCTGCAAGAAACAGCATTGTTTGTTCAGAATCATGACTACATTCCAGATCAACATGCTCGAGGTCAAAATCCACAATATAGAGAGACCATATACTTTGTATTTTATGTGTTACCACAGTTGAAACCGCAGCTGTGATTTACGCAACAGACATACAGTACATGCCACCAAAAATTCCACAGTGGGGATCACTGTGAAAATGACTGACTGTACTTTTTGTTCTTACCTACAGTACAGTGCATCCACAAAGTGTTCACCGCTTTTCACCTTTTCCACATTCAGTTATGCACAACTTTTTCGAACAAAAAATCAAATTGACTAAGAATAAAAACACGAAGAAATCATACACAAGTGTTCACAGCCTTTCCGACAAAGCTCAAAATTTAGCTCAGGGATCCTTGAGACGTTCCTACAGTTTAATTGGAGTCCACATGACGTAAGTTTAGTTGATTGGACATGATTTGGAAAGGCACACACCTGTCTATATAAGGTGTCACAGGTGTCAGTGCATGTCAAGGCACAACCCAAGCATCAAGTCAAAGGAATTGTCTGTTGACCTGCAAGACAGGATTGTCTCGAGGCAATAATGTGGGGAAGGATACAGAAAAAACATTCTGCTGCTTTGAAGGTTCCAGTGACCACAGTGGCCCAGACCGAGCCCAGACTTGAATGCGCGAAACCATCTCTGGAGGGATCTTAAAATGGCGCCGACACTCCCCGTCCAGCCTGATGGGAGTTTGAGAGGTGCTGCAAAGAGGAATGGTTGAAACTCCCCAACGAAAGGTGCGCCAACCTTCTGGCATCATACACCAAAAGACTTGAGGCTCCAATTACTGCTAAAGGTTTTTCACATTGTCGTTAGGGGTGTTTTGTGAAGAAAAAAAAGATTTGATTCCATTTTGGAATGAGGCTATATCAACAAAATGTGGAAAAAGTGAGATGCTGTGAATAGTTCAGCACAACATTTTGTTGAGACTAAAAGGACTACGAAATGACACAGTTCTAAAAGTCCAAGAGCTATTTCACAGCTAAATACTACAACAGGGAAACGACTTAATTCTCTAGTGAGACTCATCGATAGTATGCTACTGGGGAAACATACTTTCAACTATTGAACCAGACATATTTTGCTTTGCTGACGGTTCTCTTGTCTAATCGGGCCTTCATCCTGCGGGTAGTTGACCAGCTCGGCCTTCACTATCCTCTGAGCAGGTACGACACATGCCAGGCAGCAGAGAGAGATTGAGGACAAAAAAAGAAAATGAGCAAAGGAGAGAAAAATAGTCACGTGAGAATGGAGAGTGAGGGCACGTAGATCATGGACATGTGGGATGATAGGAATGGAATTGTTGCGCGACAGATACAGGACACAGATGACGTCAGTGTTAAGCGGAAAACAGCGGCTATGTCCTATTAGCAGGCGAGCAGACGTTTGGCTGGCTAATGAATGAGCTGCTGAGGCCTGGTGTCGAGGCCAGTGATGGATCTGAGGGCTCGCTATCTGATCCCAAAGACAGAGAAGCAAGAAGGAAGGGGCAGCCGGGCAGATATAATTCTGTCATGGGTCGTGACCCTTGTGTTCAGCTTGCTATAGCTGACAGCTGATAATGAGGCTTGACTGAGCCCATGACTCCACCTCTAAACAAGCACAGAGAGCAGACATCCCATCCATTGATCCATTCTCTGAAATGCTTATCAAAATAAATAAACACGTAAATAAATCATTAAGGCATCATTACTGAAGAATTAGCTCTAAACAGGAAGTGTCCAATGTCATCGCAAGAGTACCATAAACTGACTCACATTCTCCCAGCCAAACGCAGGGCACACAGACATACAACCCTCCGCGCTCACACTCACACCCAGGGACGATTTGGAATGTTCAATCAGCCTGCCGTGCATATTTTTGGAATGTGAGAGGACAACGGAGTACTCGAAGAAAACCCACGCAGGCCCGGGGAGAACATGCAAACTCCACACAGGAAAGCCGGGGCCGGAATCCAACCACCGACCTCTGCGCTGTGAGGCAGACGTGCTAACCAGTCGACCACCGTGACCCGCTGCAGCGTGGTGAAATATAATCTAGCCACTGGAGAATTGAACCAGATTCATTTTTTTTTGGGCTCAAACATGTTGAGATGTGTAGGTATAAAACAAAAATGCTAGAGGGAGTAAGCAGCGTCCATTTTTCCAGGTTGTACGAGTGGTATTTGAGGGACATTCTGTAACAGCTTTCATCAATTGCTTTTGGAAGAGTTGTTCCCAACCCTCTGCTCTGTGGTGTATCAAATTCACAAGACATTGATTTTCACTTAAAAGGGATTTTAAAACAAATACGTGTTCCACAATTAAAACGACAAGACCACCACCGTGTATCACTTCGTTTTCTTCACACAGCCTCTCTCTCTGCTTGATAAACATGGATTAAAGCACTTTGGTCCTGTGACAGCGGGGAGGAAGAACAAAGTAGATGGACGGCTCCATTAGTCAGTAGGCAGCGGTAGTGGCAGCGGTGATGATGGGCTTGAGAACCCGGTCAGTGCTCTCCTTACATGCTCTCCTCCTCTCCCAGGGCCGTGACCTCTCTGCAGGCCCCAGCTCATCAAGCACTACCCAGCCAGGGTGGCTCCAACCGCTCGTATCGGAGCGAGGATTAATGCTTCTGGGGGAGGTGACCCTGTAAATCCGAAGGCTGCCACATTCGGGCAACCCGTCCTCGCTGGCAGGCCGAAGCCTCTTTTAGGCCAACACAGCACGTTGTGGAGATAAACGAAATAAATCAGCCAGCTAAAGTAACCTTCTCACCCCCGCAAATGCATACCTTTAACCTCTGACTTCACGCATTAATGTGGCCAATGTGGGTCTTCTTTACAGACGGGCAGCTTCACTGGCAGGTAGAGCGTCACTTGAGGCAGACGCAACAAACCAGTGTTTATGCAACAAAAGGTCATTTACAGTGTGTGGTGACCTCTGCTGACCTAACACACTCCCAGTGACCTCCATTAGAAGCAGCATAATGTTACATACTCTGTGTGACTGATCATTTTTCTCAGGTCAATGAATCCATGAAGACGAAGAAAAAGTAACGTCCAAGACTTGTTAGGAGAGACCTTTTGTTGTAATCTGAGACTTGAATGACTCACCTGGGACTGTTCTATCTCAGCTTTGTTCAACTTTACGCCGAGAATCTCAGCCGCAACCCTCTGGAAACAAAGATACACCTGAAGACAGTAACACAACGTGAAACATTAACCCTACCCGATGTGATCAAAATCATGCTTTTGTTAGCGTCTGACGCTCACCGAGTCCCCGGTCTTGGCGGACACGAACTGACTGATGAGGCCGTTCTCTTGGCAAAAGCGCTGGTGCTTGTCGGACTTCACCGTCCTCATGTGCTCCAGGTCGACTGGGGACGAAACACAAGCGTGACAAACGAGGAGACTCGCGTTTCGCACTTCAGGTAAACTGTCACGTATATCCCAACATAAACAGAAGACATAACTGTTTACATAAACCACAGTCACAAAGAGACTGACAACAAAATATAACTCGATAGTTATGTTGCCATCAAAACTGGCGGCAGGTACCGCCAGTTTTGATGTTGCTCATGACCTAAGTAATCGGGTCTTTTGTAACAATCACAACACAGAGAAGAAAAAGGATCACTCTTTTTACTTAAAAAAAAGAGGGATCAGCAAAAAAAAAAAAAAAAACAACAATGAACGACTTTATATTAAACATTCTTTCGTTGTCCTTTCTCAATCACATTGCTTAGCGGTGTGGAATTGATTGAATCATCATCAAAAGCTTTGAAAACATGAACAAATTCAATTTTGACCTAAGTAGAAACTTTTGTTTCTACTGAAATTGAAATATCGGCTCATCTTTTATTTGATTTCATATTTTTATACATGACTGCAGAGGAGTGGTGTCTGACAAGTCATGAACCTCGGCGCATGTCACTACCATCCATACAGTAGTCAGATAAAGCCAACTTAACCACTCGGTGGACATGTGACTTATTTCCCTTCAAGATGATCAATTCAGTAACCCGAAACCTGGCATGCAAACCCATTGGGACACATACCACCAGTCAAGTACACTTCCACCCTGAAGCCAAGAACCTTTATTTGACCTGACGCAGACAAATCAGTAGCAGAGATGGTCAGGAACAATAAGTGGACAAGGACTCCAGGCTAAAGTCACAGCAAGAGCGCTAAAGCATAAGAGCTTTGATTTATGAGGGAAGAAGGTGGGCACAATAGTCCAAGAAATGGGGACTGTCACCTGATTTGCGCAGGCTACAATGACAACACCTTCCTTTTTAGCTTTTGTCTTGGCGCTAGCTGAGCATTTGACTCCGTCGGAGTGATCCCGACTGCTCTCGTTCTCCCTTTTCCTCCATGTGGGGTCATGCTGGGGTCGACGGGGAAGGTCACCCGGGGGTCTCGCTGCTGAAAAGCAATAGCCTGACTCTTTATTTCTGTCTTTGTGCATGTTGGCGGCCACACCCGGTATCTGGTGCCTATGCGGGTCTATGGCACCCGGAGGAAGTCAGGCTACTGTACGGTGTTGCGTTTCTCTCGACCCCCGTCTGAGAGTTTTCTTCTTTGTGTGATGTTGTCAAAGATTTACTGTGTTCTCATGCCCTGAGAGCGTGTGCGAGAGAGAGAGTTGCACCCAGAAGGACAGATATATAGTCTGGGAGAACATAAATACTGCATTTATTGAGCAATATTAATATCTCAGCAAGTCACATGACCCCAAAAATGCCAGCAGGCAAGCCATAGAAACTAAACAAATACTTTTAAAGGGGGGGGGGGGGTCATTTTCCAGTAGAAGCCGATTATCATGGTCATAAGAGACACATAAACAGAAACCTTTCAGGGCAAGGGCAGACTGTCATGTCACAGCCCGGGAGTAAACACAGCTATCTCCCAGGCGTCAGCAGGTTATTAATTCCCATCATTAACATGCAAAGGTACCTCCATGCTACTAGGAGTAAACACTCCTAATCCTTTGGATCCTGCACACTTGGGAGAGGTCAGTCATGTGTCAGTGTCACATTGGGCAACATTAACATCAACAATGGCTCCAGAGTGGAGATGCACATTCACTGGATGTAAAAAAGATGTGGGGTGTTGCAAATACTTGCTTGACTTCTGAGAGCTGAGAGTGAAAACAAGACTGTAACACAAAAGCTGACATTAGCTGGCCGCGACTACCAGTCCCTACGCCTGAGATTGCGGTTGTAATTTCCAAATTGCACAACATCATCATGAGGTGTTTCTACATTCTGAGAACTGGGCCCCCTGACTTCTTAAACTTGTTTTGAAACTGAGTACAAGTGCTTACATTTGAGTACTCGCTGATACCAAGTACAGATATGTCTTGTGGTTCAAATATCTTGTTTCAAACAAACATTGTTCAACTATGGCATAAGTTGCACTCAATTACAGCATTTTTTTTTTTTAGAGAAAACAACTTGTCATGATTGACATTTTAAAACGCAGTTGCATGTCTAACAATCTTGACATACATTTGATTTAAATGTCTGTAACACAAGGTATTTCAGTTATGTGGTGTCATCGTCTGAATACTAAAAGGAGTCCACAGATAAGAGGCAAAGAAATATGGGGTGGAGAAGAACGGCAAGTTTGGTAGAGAGGAACAAGTGTGTTAACTGTGTCAACTACAATATAAAGAAACAGAAACAGAAATAAAAGGCTACTTCTTGAGAATACGAGAAGTTAGAAAATGAAATTGTGACAGGACAACTGAAATCATACTTCAACACAGCATTGCGTGCTCTCTTAACTCAATGTGCTGTGCTGTGCCGTGTCGTCCGCCAAGCCCATCCTCCAAAGCCGCGGAATTGTGTTATGAGTGTGGCTGGAGCTGAGCTGGCGACGGGTCTCAAGAAACTCGACAGACGGACCCAGCCCGCAACTGGCAAGGCAGCCCGGCCACCTTCGTTGCCACCTGAGCAGGGTTCACGATCCATTTTGCACAGCATCATCTGCAGCCGGCTAACGTTTTTAGGAGCGAATCAAAGAAATACATTTTTTCATGGGTCAAACTAAACAGGAACATTTGGGAAAATTTTGTAGCATGTGGCATCTGTCTTTCTACACTCAATACAAGGTTAATCCTAGCGTTTTAGTGTTTCGCTCAATTTGTCTACCTAATGTACCCATCTCTACTTATCAGGTCAAAACAATCTCGCCGCCATGCTCTGGTTTCCTTCCATGTCTGTCAAACTGTACATCAGCTTAACAACCCGGAGGAAGTGACTGCAAACACAAACTTAAACTGTTTAGGCCTCCGAGCGCGTAAGAGATAGTGGAGTGGAACATCACTCGTCAAGACCGATGGCTCTCCCTCGTTCTGGTCACCGTCACTGTTTATTTCAAATATTTGCATGCCAATGCGGTGAATTCTGAGTGAGCAGCTGGAGATAAAGATCAAATGGATATAGGAGGCTTTTACCCTCAAGTAGCTGTTATTTAGGTGATGGGGTTTGTTAGTGTGCCCTTTATGGAGGGAAAAAAAATATTCTGGCACCATCGTCCTGTGCTTGTATGCTTCAATGCCCATTAACAGTGTGGTGCTCCTTCCGGTGCACACGCCTTGACCAACGGGGGGGG